CAGATGTCCATGAAGATCCCGTGAAGGACCAGCAGCCTTAGTGGCTGACTATGAGAACAGAGGAAATACAGTGGTAAATTGGGGGCAGCTGAGGAAGAGAAGACTCTGTAATCTGAGAACAAGTTATGGCAAAAAGTGTTCTTGGGTAATCCCACAAGAGGGTCTCAAAATTCATTTAGAACGGGCCTTAACAGAAACCCCAGAACAGAGGTCAGCTCAACTCATTCTTTCTTATTTTCTCTGTGGTTAACTCCAGCTGGTAGTCTCAGAGGGAAGAGGCTTGTAAAAATTAAAAATGAAGGGTGTTGAATCCAGCAGTTCCACTCTAGATATATGCCCAAAAGAATTGAAAGCAGGACTTGAAGAGGTATTGATACATTTATATTCATAGCAGCATTGTTTGCAATAGCCAAAAGGTGGAAGGAAGCCAAGTGTTCCCCAGTGGATAAGCGGATAAACAAGATGTGGTATATCCATACAATGAAATATCATTGAGAGCCAAGGGTGGGCGCCAGTCCTTGAAGGCAAACAACTGTAAACCAGACAAAAAGTAACCTTGAGGTGTTTGGAGAGCCAGGTAGCAGGCAAGCACGGCTTTTCAGCATCATCTTTAGAATTTGCTGCTCAAGGAAGTGAAATGTCGAAGCTGCCACCCAAACCAGTCAAACCAGGGTAAGATAAAGTCTTCAGAGCCCTCTATATGTTTGAACCCAGAACTCCAGATGAACTATGCTTTGAGGCAGGTGATATCATCTACATTACTGATATGAATGATGTCAGTTGGTGGAAAGGCACCTCCAAAGGCAGGACTGGACTAACTCCAAGCAACTATGTGGCTGAGCAGGCAGAATCCATTGACAATCTATGTCTGAAGGAGCAAAAAGAGGCAACTTGAGTTGGTTGCAAGAGTGTTTGGACAGCCGAGTGGGTGTTAATGGCTTAGACAAGGCTGGAAGCACTGCCTTAGACTAGGTTTGTCATGGGATTTCAGAGATATAGTGGAAATGCTATTTACTCCACCGAGGATTTAACTGAGCCAACAGAACAAGTTGGGAGACACAGCTTTGTATGCTGCTGCCTGGAAGGGTTCTGCACATATTGTCCAGTTGCTTGGGGCAAAAGGTGTCAGAACAGACTGAAGAAACAATGAGAAGAAGCTGGCTTTGGGCATGGCTAACAATGCCCATGCATCTCTCCCGAAAAAGAAACAGGAGACAGACGCAGTTCGAACATTAAACAATGCTCTTGCTATTCCAAAACTTTGTCTGCCAGAAGAGGGTTGGTAATTATTTTTTAAGTATATATGAACATGGCAGTGTTGTACTGTGTTTGAGTAGAACAGGTAAATGAAGGGTTCTTACCTTTGGTTTACCAATAAATGACTGGATTCTTTACTGTATAAAATATATTTATGTTCACCAGAGAAGAACAAGAAGAGATGATTTCTATTTATCAAGCTAAAGGAATTTTATAATTTTTTTCTTTGAAAAAATGAGTGCCGGGCGCAGTGGCTCACGCCTATAATCTCAGCACTTTGGGAGCCCGAGGCAGGCGGATCATGAGGTCAGGAGTTCGAGACCAGCTTGACCAACATGGTGAAACCCCGTCTCTAGTAAAAAAAATACAAAAATTAACCGAATGTGGTGGTGCACACCTGTAATCCCTATTGGGGAGGCAGAGGTAGGAGAATTGCTTGAACCTGGGAGGTGGAGGTTGCAGTGAGCCAAGATTGCGCCATTTCTCTCCAGCCTGGGAGACAGAGCAAGACTCTGTCTTGGGGAAAAAAAAAATCAGGATAGTATTTTGGTTAAACTTCTTTACCTCAAGGATTGACATATTTTGAATGGATTTTTCAAGGGAGGGAAGGCTTACTATAATAATAAACCAAAATACGTAACAGAAAATCATCAGCTATTCTGACAAGAATAAACATTTTAAGAGGCTTTAAAAAAAAAAAGTAATATGATTCAGTGTTAAAAAGGCCCGGATTTCTCTCTCTTTTTTTTTTTTTTTTTTTTAAGTCTTGCTCTGTCACCCAGGCTGGAGTGCAGTGGTGCAATCTCGGCTCATTGCAACTCCCTCCCAGGTTCAGCTGCGTTCTCTTGCATCAGCTCCCAAGTAGCTGGGACTACAGGCACCCATCACCACACCTAGCTAATTTTTTTTCTTTTTGAGACGGCCATTCACCGCGTTGGCCAGGCTGGTCTCAAGCTCCTGACCTTGTGATCCACCTGCCTTGACCTCCCAAAGTGCTGGGATTACAGGTGTGAGCCACTGCACCTGGCCAGGAGGGAATTCCTGACACGTGCTCTAACACAGATGAACCTTGAGAATATTATGCTGGGTAAATGAGCCAATCACAAAAAGGACACATACTGTATGATTCATATGAGGTACTGTAGGAACCTAGTTTTTTAGATTCCTTCTGGGCAGGGAGTCGTCGGCGAGAGACCACTCGACCGCGGAGAATCCACGGTGGAGAGATTTATTGCTAGCGCTGAGTCCTATGTCAGTTGGCCACAGGACCCCGAATACTTGTTACAGACAGTTTATAAAGCCAAAAACTACAAAAATTCACAAAGCTTGAGGCGCAAGATGATTGGAGCAGGTTATGGCCTGAGCAAGATGTCTTACTCTAATTGGTTGGTTTGAACCTGGTTTGAACCACTTGCAGGTATTCCCGGACTTGTTCTTCTGTTTGAGAATTCCAGGAATTTGGGTGGGTGTTTTAGATAGCCACACGGACATCAGGCGAGTGCTTTAGATGGCCACCTGGTCATTGGGTGGGTGCTTTTAGATAGCCACCTGGTGGCACTAAACTTCTAAGTTTCTAAGTCTAAAGATCTAAGGTTTCTAAGTTTCTAAAATCTATTTTCATTTCCTCCTCTTTTTGTGACCAAGAGGCTCAATCTTGAGCCTCTCATCTTGCATCTGAGGGCTTGGTATTGTAGGGTAAGGACCATAGCCTGCAGAATGTTTAACTTACACGGCCGGAGAGTCAGGATGAGCATGAGTAGGATAAGGGGGCCTAAGATGGTGGAGACTAAGGTGCTGAACTAAGGGGACTGGTTGTACCAGCTTTTAAACCAATTTTGTTGAGACTCTTTTTTTTTTTTTTCGTTTGTCTAATCTTTCTCTTAGTTTTTGCCAAGGTCTCTAAGTTTCTAAAGGTTTCTAAGTTTCTAAATCTATTTTCATTCCCTCCTCTTTGTGTGACCAAGAGGCTCAATCTTGAGCCTCCTCTTCTGTCCTGAGGGCTTGGTATTGTAGGGTCAGGACCATAGCCTGCAGAATGTTTAACTTACATGGCCGGAGAGTCAGGATGAGCATGAGTAGGATAAGGGGGCCTAAGATAGTGTAGACTAAGGTGCTGAACTAAGGGGACTGGCTGTACCAGCTTTTAAACTAATTTTGTTGAGACTTTTTTTCTTTTTTTTTCGTTTGTCTAATCTTTCTCTTAGTTTTGTCATAGAATCTTTAACCACTCCTGAATGGTCTGCGTAAAAGCAACATTGTTCTTTGAGGGCTGCACAGAGCCCGCCTTCCTTTAAGAAGACAATTTTTAGTCCTCGTCGGTTTTGCAATACAACTTCAGACAGAGAGGTTAGAGATTCTTCAAGTTTTGAAATAGAGTGTTCTATGGCTCTAAGGTCCTCATCTATGGCTGCCCTAAGTTGTTGCAGATGGTAGCTACCACGTACTAAAGCTGCTGTTCCGGTCCTAACCCCAGCTGCTACCCCCACTCCTAGCATTACAGCGAGGGTGAGTGAGACAGGTTCCTTTTTGGGTCTACTATAAGCTTTCTGTTCATACTGGAGGTCAAAGGAGTCTCCAGAGTGATAGTATACTCGGGGAACAACCTGTACTAACACGCAGTAGTCTGTGCTGCGGTTAAACGCTGCTGTGGATACACAGGGAGTGAGTCCAGTGTTGCAAGCCCACCAGTCTGTCCCAGAAGGGACTAAATAGTGATTGGAGCTAGGCACTGTCAGAGTCTTGTCACAGAGATGCTGATGGCTAGTGGGCACCTTTCCTATACAGATTCCTGACCTAGAAACTTCAGCCAGGGTCAGCTTTTTATGCTGATCCCATGCACATCCAGTAGGATTAGTGGAGTTGGTGAAATTATTAGTGGAGGCAATGCCCTCATAATAAGGGGGGGCTGTCGCTAGGCACAGCCAACAAGAGGAGGTGGATTCTGGCCTGGTCTGGTTCAAGGCAAAGTAAGAGCCTTTTATGAGATTAAGGAGCCTGTCACCTAAGCCTGGGGAACTCAAGGGCAGGGTAGTGCCTTGAGGGGCCTTTGGCTGAGGGCCCTGAGGGGCCTCCGGCCGAGGGCCCTGAGGGTCCTCCGCCTGGGAGCCCTGAGGGTCCTCCGGCCGGGGGCCCTGAGGGGCCTCCGGCTGAGGAGGCCTTGCTTCTGGTAAAACTGGGTTTTGCCCTATTGAGACAGGAGCTGAGGCAGGGCTAACTGCTAGTCTAATTTGGATGGGGATCCTAAACAGTGGCTTTTGGTGTAAATATAGGCCCCATATTAACCCTGACATCTAGCGGCCATCAGATTTCGCTGCTTTTTTGAATTTGATGCAGACCAGATTACAACCAGCCGAATACCGGGTTCTGGTGCAGGGCTTAACAAAGGACATGGATATGTACCATGGTGTTGTGGCCTATTTCCATTCTCCATCATTAGTAGTTACACAAGTCCAGCTAGCACAATACAGGGAAGTTATATCCCCGCAAGTTTGTTTCATTTTTCCTGTCCGGAATCCGGGGCAGGCATAGAACCCGTTCCGGCTTATGGACACCTTTCTAGCCTGTTTTCTCTATACTCCCCCTTCCATGTTATTTACCCTTGCTACTTTAGGTTGAGATAAAGGTCAGGAAACCAAGTTCCCACAGGGGCAATTTGTGAAGTCTCATATAGGACTTCATGGGTATTAAAATTAGTTACTCTCCAGGTTAGGTTAAAAGGTTGGTGGGGGTTTTTGGTGTCAGCGACGCGAGGAAGGAGGGCTAGTAGTAAGCAAAGGGTTAGGTACGAGAGAGTCTTATCTTGAGGGGGTCCTTGGAGTGACGGAGTCTCCATGTCTCAGGTGGTCCGGGCGTCTCTGGAGCAGCCTTGGCGTGGGATGCGTGGATCCAAGTGGCGATTCCGTCAACCTTTATGGCTGTGGGTGTGGTCAGGAGAACAATGTAGGGTCCTTTCCACCGAGGCTCCAGTCCTTGAGAACGGTGTCGTCTAACGTAGACGGAGTCCCTCACCTGGAAGGGGTGGCTGGTCTGCGAATGTCCTGGCCGGTACAGTTCTGCCAAGGTGGCCCAGATTTGGGCCTGTACTGCTTGTAGTCCTTTTAGCCGGGCCTGCAGGTCAGTCTTAGAGTTGGAGGGAGAAAAGGAGTCAAGTAGGGTCGACAAAGGGGGAGGTCCTCCGTAGAGGATTTCATATGGAGTGAGCCCAAAGCGGTTAGGCGTATTCCGGGCTCTTAAAAGAGCTAGAGATAGGAGGCGTCTCCAATCTTTTAAGCCAGTCTCTAAGGTCAATTTAGTAAGGGTCTCTTTTATTGTTCTATTCATTCTTTTTACCTGTCCTAAGCTCTGGGGTCTATAAGCACAATGCAATTTCCAATTAATCCCCAGTATCCTGGCTAGCCCCTGACTTACCTGGGAAATGAAGGCCGGCCCGTAGTCTGACCTAATTACCTTGGGAAGTCCAAATCTAGGAAAGATTTTTTCCAGAATCTTCTTGGCTACTATGTGTGCCGTTTCTTGCCGGGTGGGGTAGGCTTCTACCTATCCTGAAAAGGTATCTACAAACAGTAGTAAGTACTTATACCCAGCATAGTGAGGTTTTACTTCAGTGAAGTCTACCTCCTAATAAGCCCCCGGGCGGCTGCCACGGGTTCGTATTCCTGCTGGCACTCGAGTAGCCCTAGCGTTCACCTGCTGACAGACCTTGCAGGCAGAAGTCACCTGTTCTATTAGAGTACTTGCCTTAGGAATTAGAAAGTCAGTTTTTTTCAATCAACATTTTTAACTTCCGGCTACCTAAGTGTGTCCAGGCGTGCATCTGCTGGATCATAGCCACGGCTTCTCTTTGTGGGAGGACTGTCTTCCCTTCTTTTTCCTAGTTCTTGGTGTCCTTGTTTTCTATAGCTTCTATGGCTCTTGCCTCTTCCTGGTCTTCTGGGGTGTAGGTGTGTCTATCCTGGTCGGTTTTGTTGGGTTCTGAGGCTAAGGTTAGTACTTTCGCCATGGCTGCCTGCTTGGCCACGTGGTCTGCCTGTCTGTTTCTCACTGCAACTGGATCCTGTCCTTTCTGATGTCCGGGACAGTGGATTATGGCTACTTCTCGTGGGAGGAAGAGGGCTTTTAATAAGGCAATTATTTCAGCTTTGTTCTTGATTTCTTTCCTCTCTGATGTTAGGAGACCTCTTTTTTATAAATACTTCTATGGGTATGAGCCGTTGCAAAAGCATATCGGCTATCTGTATAAATATTAGCTTTTTTCCCCTTGGACAGCTCTAGGGCCTTTGTTAGTGCTATTAGCTCAGCCTTTTGTGCAGATGTGCCAGGGGGCAGTGACTGTGCCTAAATGGTGGTGTGGTTATCTACCACTGCCGCTCCTGCCCTCCGGGTACCTGAGTCAAGATAGCTGCTGCCGTCTGTATACCATGTGTGGTCCGCGTCTGGGAGTTCTGTCTCCTTGAGGTCCTCCCGCGTTCCGTGGGTTTCTGCCAACACCTGCCGACAGTCGTGAGGGCTCAGTTGGTCTTCTGGTGGTGGCAGCAGCGTTGCAGGGTTCAGGGTGACCGGAGGGCCAAACCGGACGCGGTTTGTGTCCAATAGGAGGGCCTGGTAGTGGGTCAAGCGTGCATTGGTAATCCACCGGTCCGGGGGCTGTCGCACTATGGCCTCTAGAGCATGTGGAGTAATAACAGTCAATGGCTGCCTAAGGGTTAACTTAGCAGTGTCTTTGACTAACATGGCAGTGGCTGCCATGATGCGGAGACACGGGGGCCAACCGGCTGCTACAGGATCTAGCTTTTTAGACAGATAAGCTACTGGTCTCTTCCAGGGCCTTAATTTCTGGGTTAAGACTCCTTTTGCAATTCCTTGCCTCTCATCTAAGAAGAGGGTGAAAGGTTTTGAGGTATCCGGTAACCTAAGGGCTGGGGCAGAGAGGAGTGCTTTCTTTAGAGTCTCAAAAGCCAATTGATGTTCCTCCTGCCAGGTAAAAGGGGTGCTTCCCTTGGTGAGGGTATAAAGGGGGGCGGCCAGTTCAGCGAAACCGGGTATCCACAAGCGACAGAACCCAGCAGTTCCCAGGAATTCACGCACCTCTCTGGGATTCCGGGGCAGTGGAATGCGAGCCACAGTCTCTATGTGCCCAGGGGTGAGCCACCTTTTCCCCTCACTCAGTATGTACCCCAGGTAGGTTACCTTGGTCTGACAAATTTGTGCCTTCTTGGCGGATGCCCGGTATTTTTTTTCTCCCAGTTCCTGGAGTAGATGCCTAGTACCTTGCATGCAGGCTTCCTTTGTGGGGGCCGCCAGGAGGAGGTCATCTACATACTGGAGCAAGGTCACTTCTGGATGCTGGGTCCGGAAGTCGGTTAGGTCCTAGTGGAGAGCCTCATCGAAGAGAGTGGGAGAGTTCTTGAACCTTTGGGGAAGTCGGGTCCAGGTCAATTGGCCTGAGATTCCTTTCTCAGGGTCTTTCTACTCAAAGGCAAAGAGTTCCTGGCTTTAAGGGGCCAGGGGTAAACAAAAGCATCTTTTAATTAAGGGGCTGAGCAAGTTGTAAGGTACTCAGCTCCTGAAGTAGATGCCTGGTAGGCACACTGGTCTTTTTTACCTTAGGCCGCCTCCGTTTTTTTTCCTTTTTTTCCTGGCCCTTTCTCTGTTACTACTGCTGCCAGGATTTTTGTTAAATACTTATCTCTCTTTTATTTCTTCCATCCTCTCGTTCCTCCTGTTCTTTCGCTAGTCTGGCTTCCCTTTCCTCGGGAGTTTCTCTTTTATTATATACTTTTTTTGCCTCTCTGACTAATTTCTGTAATCCATAGGTCTGGATCCTATCTAATCTTTGGAGTTTCCTTTTAATATCTGGTGCTGCTTTGTCTATGAACGACATGGCCACGGTAGCCTTATGTTCTAGAGCCTCTGGATCAAATGGGGTATACATTCGGAACCCTTCCAGAAGTCTTTCCATAAAGGCTGCCGGGTTTTCGTCCTTTCCTTGAATTATGGTCCTTACCTTGGCCAAATTGGTGGGGCGTTTCCTTGCCCCCTTGAGACCCGCCAACAGAGCCTGGCGATAGATTCGGAGACTCTCCCTACCTGGTGCTATCTCATAATCCTAGTCCGGGCGGGTGAGGGGAAATCCCTCGTCTATTTCGTTGGGGAGCTGGGTTGGAAGGCCTTTTGGCCCCGGCACATTTTTCCGGGCCTCCAGGAGGACTTGTTGCCTTTCTTCGGTGGTCAGAAGGACCTGCAAAAGCTGTTGACAATCATCCCAGGTAGGCTGGTGGGTGAGGAGAATGGATTCTATCAATGAGGTTAAGGCCTGAGGGTCTTGGGTAAAGGGGGGGTTGTGAGTTTTCCAATTGTAGAGGTCGGAGGCAGAAAAGGGCCAGTACTGGATTGCGCGGTTGACCGTGCGAAGGGGAGAAGGGAAGACTGCCAGGTGGGAGTGCCATCTGGGTCTTCAGTCCGCCGCAAGCGGAGACGAGGTGTTGGTGGCGGCGCGGAACGGCGGCGGGGAGGAGGGGCGCGCGACCTCTCTTCCCCCCACCCCGCGCAACCTTTTCGACCTCGCCTTTCCGCGCGACAGCGGACGCCGCCACGGCGTCCCGCGGGTTACCGCCGGAGGCACGCAAACCCCGGGAACGCGGCTGCGAGCGCGGCTGGGCTGGCCGTGGCGCGGGCTTCCGGCCCCCTGATGCACGGAGCCAGCGGGGAGGACGGGACGGTGGCGGCATTTTAGGGGTTAATTTGGGCGGCATTGGAGAGGGAGGCGAGGTCGAGGAAGGGACCGATGAAGGGGCTGGAGAAAGAGTAGGGGCTGAGGGAGTAGTGGGAGGGATTGGGGATAGGGTAAGGGACGAGGGTGAAGCGTAAGGTGGAGGCCTCAGGAGGGGGTTGTGAGGAGGAGGAGGAGGCGGAGGATCGAAAAGGAGGAGGTCTTGCTGAGTTCCATCAGGGAGGACTGGCTTAGGGGGATCCGAAGTCTGATTCTTTGGGGCTTCCACGGCAAGGAGGGTAGATTGGGACGGGGAGGGGGAATGAAAGAAGGGTTTCACCCAGGAAGGGGGGTTTCGGACCAAATCTTCCCAGGTGATTATGTAGGCCACTTGGTCCTGGTGTCCTTGCGGCCCACGATTCATCACTTTTGCTTTAACCTGTAAGATAATGGAGAGGTCAAATGTTCCGTCCTGGGGCCACCCAACCTGGAGGGTTGGCCATTCAGACGAACAGAAAGTTTGCCATCGTCCTTTACGGACTTCCACGGAGAGATCGCGGGCTCGCGCCCGGACGTCAGGGAAGTGGGTCAAAGTCAAGGCTAAAGGAGTTGTTAGTGTCTGTCCTATAGTTTCGTCCAGAAAGTCACGCACACACAAGGACAAAATGACAACAATAAACACAGTGACCAAACAAACACAGAGGAGCCTCGCGGCCCGAGAGTGGCGCCACAAGTTTACAAAAGATTCAGACGGCAGGGGGCAACCTGCCTACCGATTTGAGGAGGCCAACAGAGTCGTCAGCTTTCCTCCCGACAACCGCCAGGGCGTCCCCTGGGGCGCAAGGGGGAAGGTGCCGGACACGTCTGTCCCCCTTCCCCACCTGATTATTCAGACGGAGTACTCCTCAGAGCTAGCCGGCAAGACAAACAGAGCACAGAGTGAAACGAAAGTACCTGACAGAGTCCGTTCGTCAGCAGTCGGTGGCCCGGGCCAATTGTGTCTCCACCGGAGGGGTCGAGGGTCCTCGGGTGACCCCCATTCCCGGCCAACGCACCAAATGTAGGAACCTAGTTTTTAGATTCCTTCCTGGGCAGGGGTCGTCGCGAGAGACCACTCGACATGGAAGTCACAGTGGAGAGATTTATTGCTAGCGCGCTAGGGTCCTATG